ACACATCAGTTGAGATGTTCATATCCATTGCGAACAGCAGCATCGGTACCGCGATCAGGACAAGAGCAGTATTCTGCATCTTTTCCAGGTCTTCCTTCTACACCTTCATCACCTTGACGTCCATCAATGCCTCGTGGTCCTTGGAATCCAGGCTGTCCAGGAGGACCAGGAGGTCCAGATCGACCAGGGGCTCCAGTCATGCCGTTTTGTCCAACTGGTCCAGGCGAACCAGCGTCTCCACGTTCTCCCTTTGGTCCTGGTCTACCAATAGGATGGTCTGCATCTCTTCCATTCTCTCCTGGAGGTCCCGATTCACCCATTTTTCCAAGTGGACCATCAGGTCCTTGCTCTCCAGAAATACCGGGCAATCCATCTCGGCCAGGGTTACCGTTTTGGCCCTTTGGTCCAGAAAGTCCGCGAGGACCAGGGCGACCGAGGGCTCCTGGTGGTCCAGGCGGACCACTTGGGCAGTTGAAGCAGCCACTAGTGTCTCGCTGAGGCGCTATATCTTCCGCATGCACTCCCGGTTTTCCGTCCACACCAGGGTATCCCTCAGGGCCAGGTGTTCCTGGAGCTCCCTTGGGACCAGGAGGACCAGGTGGGCATTTATTGTCGGCATTGCAGTTACATTTTGAGTTACTTCCAGCCAGTGCGGGTGGAGTAGCAGGAGGGTTGTTGACAGGTGTTGCCGGTGCTGCTCCGGTCTGGGTTGGGGTATTTATAGCTTCGCTTTCGTACTGTTGTTCTTGTTGTCGGCGAACTCTTCTAGCTGCACCAACACTCATGATATCTTTCCACATATCGTCAGTTGTTACCTAAAAAGCACATAAGAAATTCAGAAAAAAAAGAGATGTGGTCCTAGTTAACTTACCTTGAAGTTACCGAGCTCCCTCTCAAGATCAACCCAGAATCCAGCTACCTCCGAATAGATAGAAAACATTGCCACCATGCAAGCCGCTAGCGTAACAGCCGAAACAGAAGAAGCGACCATAGTCGCAGTCTGGACCTTCATCCTTTCGAGCAAAGGACCTGTTGTAGTGGATGGACGGAGAGCTATGAAATCGGGATGCCTTCCCGTTTTTATAGGATGCAAGTGGGTCACATTCGGGCATCTGAGGTTCAGTTTTTAGCATAACAAGGCATAGTGAACATGAAGAGTGCGCAGAAAGCGAACTTGATTAGTTTACGTTCCGAACCGGATAGTAAAAATCGTATCGAGAATGTTAATTAGAAAGATCGCGCGCATGAAATTTTCCGACGCAGTCTGTTTGGCGCTATCTACAGTGTTATCGAAATTTTCTTTGATCTGCGCAATAACACTGAACACTAAGTTTTTCGACAGTGTGTGTTTCTCGACACGTCATCTGTGTTTTTCTAAGCCACAACTTTTGTTTTGCGCTAGTTTACTCGACAGTATTATTTTTGTTGACTTTTATGGTTGACAGCTTCCTGCATTAAGGTCACAAACACTGGGTTGTTCAAGATCAGATTAGACAGAGCTCTCGTTACAGAAGCAGATGTGCGATTAGTACGTCATGCCATCATTCAGGATAAGCAGGAAGTTTCCCAAATGAAAAAAGCGAAGTATTTTACC